TTCCCCTTGCCAGGCAACCAAAGCAACGGGTGAGTCCTGACCGGCCCTCAGCAGGACCCGGACCGAGAAGCAGTTTCCGCGGGCTCCTAGCCCCGGGCCAGGGAAGTTCCGGGAGCCGGAACTCGGCCGCTCCGTGCTCTGTGTAAGCTCCTATAAGTGTAAGCTCCAAGAAGCAGTCCCGCGGGCTCAGTTCCGGGAGCCGGAATTTGGCTGCTTAGTGCTTGGTGTATGCTCTGATAGGCGCAGGGTCCAAGAAGCAGCCTCCGCAGGCTCCGCAGCCCTGGGCCAGGGCGGTTCCGGGACAGTTCCGGGAGCCGGAACTCGGCCGCCCCGCGCTCGGTGTTCGCTCCGATAGGATCAGGTTCTAAGAAGCACCCAGGCGCTGAACCCTAGCAATCTGTCTGCAAGCCGCAGGCGAATTGCAGCCTGAAATTACCTGATCTATGGCTGAATGAGCTGCGGTCAGTCGAAAACAGGGGTGGTGACGTCAGTTTACTAACATGGTGGCTGCTGGCCTCCTCTGTGGTCTGACTGGTGTGGAGAACCGAGATGGACCGCTTCCTTCCCCCGTCTCGAACCCAGAATTCAGCCCTGAGTACGGTGCTTGCGCGGCTGGCAGAAACTGCAGCGCTGTAACCCTGCGTCTCTATCCCAGCGCGCTCTGCAGACTTTAGCCGCGGGGCGATTTGCTGAATAAGCAGTGTTACCCTCCGTGCGACAAACCTCTCGCGTTTGAGTCCCCGTAGCCGATCCTCGTGCGATGGAAATCCTTCCTCCAGGTTCTGGCGCACCCCACTATGGCTGGAAATTCCTAACAAAATATCCTTTAGCCGTCCTGACATGTCATACTCCCACACAGTGAAGCAGCACACGGGGACAATGCACTCCCCTCGCCGCCATCTTTGATAATGTGTTTCTATACCATAAACCAGGGCATTGTGTTCAAATTATTACAGCATTTAGCCTAGCTTTGAGTTATATAATGCATACTTTTGGTGACGACAATGATGATGAGTTCCATGCTGTACTGTCAATATTGAACATATCGTCACAATATGTACCCTTCATTTCATTGTAAATATATCTGGTATTGTTTTATGATCCAAGGTTTAAAAAGATGTTTTCATTGCAGGTTATAGATATACTGTATTTTCAGAAAAACAAAAGGAAAGAAGAAGAAATATACCTAAATACAACCAGCACAATTATAGAGGAGGAAAAGTTTATTTGAGGGCTCATGGTTTCAGAGGTCTTAGTCCATAGAAGGCAAGCTCCAAACCCTGGGGCTTGAGGTAAAGCTGAACATCATGGCAGAGTATGTGGTATGAGGAAAGCAGCTCTCATCATGGTGACCAGGAAGCAGAGACAGACTCTACTCTCCAGATACAGAATATATATCCTATAGCCACACCCCACCACTTCAGCAGGGATTAATTCACTGATTGGTTTAAGACTCTTGCAACACAATCATTTCTCCTCTGAACCTTCCTGCATTGTCGCACACATGAGCTTTTGGGGGACACCTCGCATCCAAACCAAAACACATATAGTGACATTTTTTTTTCCTCAAACAGAATCAGTAACAATGTAAAATGTAAAGATTCAGATCATTAAGACATTCTTCTATGAATTAGATCTATTATCTTGGTTTCTTATGACTTGATATAGTGTTAGTATAACTTTGTCACTTAAGAGCTACTCAAAACGTTGATAAATTTGCTAATAAAGTAAGTGGTTACTGAGCTAAGACAGTAGCCTATTTTGATAAGTAAATTACTTAAAAAAATAACACAGAGCATCAATCCAGATGAAGTGCATTATGAAGTAGAAATACCTTTTGCATGAAGAAAGACCATATATTAAATATAGGAATGGTACTCTTCTAGTGACAGAAAATAGTCCATAAAGAAATACAATGGAAAGAACCTTATAGAGAATGTCAACATCAGTCTATAAACAGAGGAAAAAGACTCCCAAAATAGAGTTGTGGGCATGAAAATTGCAAATTAGAAGTATCAGGATTGCAAGATTCTAGGAAAATAGCACCTGTATTATTATAAAATCAATAAGCAAACTTGGAAAATGAAATAAAATTCATTTTTGAAGCATTGTGTATTTCAGGGTTGAGCAGTATTTCAATTAGGTCATGTTTAAAATCCCCTCTCTCTGATATCTATCTATCTATCTATCTATCTATCTATCTATCTATCTATCTATTTATTTTATATTTGGTACTGGGGATTAAACTCAGGGGCACTCAACCACTGAGCCACACCCCCAGCCCTATTTTGTGTTTTATTTAGAGACAGGAGACAGGATCTCACTGAGTTGCTTAATACCTCATCATTGCTGAGTCTGGCTTTGAACTCATGATCCTCCTGTCTCAGCTTTCCAAGCTGCTGGGATTATAGATGTGAACCACTGTGCCTCATGTGTTCTCTCTCTCTCTCTCTCTCTCTCTCTCTCTCTCTCCACACACACACACACACACACACACACACACACGCAGTTTGTATTTATACTTGCTTATACATCTGGACAAATGTGTATAAAAATGCAATTTCAGGGTGAGGGATGCAACCCAGTTATGAAGTACGTGCCTCGCACGCTCAAGGCCTGGGTTCAGTCACCAGTAACCTTACCAAAAACAAAACAAAACAAAAAAATCTGCAAACTTCAGGCCCTGAGAGGGCTACAACGTATCTTTACAAAAGAGTATGTTATAAGGTATCCTTAATTTTTCCCACACAAGAGTTGAGCCACATAGAAATATATATAAAGAGTGGTGCAGATAACTAGAGAAATGACTTAAAGCAAATAATCAATAGTTAAAAGAAAGAGGAAGAGGTTGAGTATTTAATGGAATTATAAACAATTTATATTAATACATATAAATAAATGTCTTTCATATATTATTATATTACATTATTACATATCAATACATATTTAGATTACTTATATAATATTACATATAACATACAAAACTTTCTTACACTCTAAACTATATAATATGCTATTTTCATATGTTATATGTGTATATATTATACATAATATAATATAATATATTTATTGCAGTCACAGTATTTTTTCTGTAGACAGACATGTACTTAGCCCACAACAGTATAAGTCACATCTCTAAACTTCTCTCAGTGAGACCTGGAAATTTCATTGCTCTCTATGCTGAACCCCAGAACTCAGTAACTTATTTTATTCCTGATTGCTTCATAGGGACGGAGTACAAGAGTCCCTTATCAGCACTTATGTGGAAAGTAGGCAAGAACCATTGATATGGCTATTTTCATATTGCTAGTGCCAGTTCCATTTTTTAATTCTACTTTTAAGAAATCCTTTCTCTCACACTCATTCTTACTCACTTTTTTGAATACTGTAGGCTTTGAATTTTGAATTTCAATTCTTACCATTTAACATGGTATCTTGTTCAAACTATGAAAAAAAATTTGTGCCTCCATATTGTAATCTGTTAAATGGGGATAATATTTCCTGTATCAAGGATTCCTGGGTAAGTTAAACTCCTATCATAAGATCTAGTGCATAATAAGTATGCTAATAATTATTATTCATTTTAAGGTTACCACTGTTGACCTGTATCATTATCACTGTAGAAATAATCATTAGGTAAACAGAACAGGTATTACAAAAAGTACCTCTTCACCCTTCATCCCAGTACCTCTTACTTTTCCAACATATACTAAACATTTATTATGTATCTGGTATTATTAGATTATACCATTAAATGCTGTGTGTGTGAGTACACACACACACACACACACACATATATGTGTGTGTGTGTATATGTGTATATACATATATTTGTATATTTTAATTGACTGCTATTTATATTTCAACTTTTAAAAATATTGTATACAGCCCGAAGAATTACCTGTGATTAATTTCTGCCAGGTATAGTGCATTTCAAGACTTTGAACATGTGTTAAAATCATTGGTTTTTGAAGAACTATCCATTAAAGACTTTCTGAACTGTGACAATGGATATTGACAGTGCTTGTCAGACTAAACCACTATTGATTGGCTCACATCATGTGTATAGCAAAACCAATTTCTTTCAAGTGCTTCTTCCTAACTGAAATACATTATTGCTGCCTTCCTCTCTGTTTATTATAACACCCCAGCTCATCATATGTAACACATCCAGCAAAAGGGTTTCACAATGAACACAGCAACAAACAGCGACATGGAAAGAAGTGAAGGCACTTAGCAATCCAAATGCTCTTGTCCTGCCAGTTACTATGCCTTTTGAAAATATTGATTCCTTGCAGAGTCTTTGTTTTTATTTTGCAATCCTTGTGAATAGGGAAAGATCATGGGCTAACAGAGCTTTGCTATTATTTAATGACCCCGTGACTCTCATGGATTCTAGTCCTCAAAGAAACTATTTTAAGTATTGTGTATATGTTTAAGTTGTGGGAAAGAAAGTACTTGTGATTGGGTCAGTGCTCTTCTGTCCATAAACATACATAACCCTAAACACACACACACACACACATACACATACACACAAAGGGATAAAGGTATGCATCTTCTCCCAAATCTTAGAAATATTTCCCCACTGAGAGACTTGGGCCAACTTTGGGCATATGCTACATATTGTAAATTATATAACTTTGAATTCACATTGTGCTTTTCTTCCCAAGAGAGTACATTCCTTATTGAAACAATACTCTTACATAACAAAAAAGCAGTTTTCACTGTGAAGGGGTAAATGGGAAACATTCCAGATTTATTTTGTTTCCTTAAAAAATATTGTCATTAAACCAAAACCATAAACATTCCTTCCACAGGTACTGACTGATCATCCTTCATGCTTCTACAATGTGATAGGAGTTTCCCAAAGCCCAAAGAACCTTCGGTCCTAGTTTTTACCCTTTTAGAAACTCACAGTTTACTGTGTATAAATTTCTCCATATTCCTAAAATTGTCATTACACTGAAAAAAAAAATGAGCCTTATAACTCACCTGACCCCTCTGTGCTGTACGGAGGATAAACTTGTGACTAACTCTACAAACACTTTAATTCTATTTGGTATGGTGTTGCCTGTTTTTAGCCCAGTCTGAACATTCTTGGAAACTAAAGAAAGAAAAGAAAGATAGCAAATTCTAATTCAGCAAAATATATAATCTTTCAAAGCCCCTTCTTAAAAACAAGTTCCAAGTTTATTTAAACATTGTGGATGAGAATTTCCTTGAGGTAGAATTCCTTTGAGTCTCATCTCCTGTCCCATGCCATGGCCCAGGAGAATGGTGGTGTTCAGCACCCTGGTATGCACCCTTCCACAGGCTTCACCCCATGGTTGTGGCCTTCTCAACCCCACATTCTCTAGCTCTGAGACAGGCGCCTGGCTTTGGGCCCATTCTCTTGGCACTCTCTGCCTGGCTCATTCTGTCCTGAGGAAGGGCTGGTTGTCAGAGTTGTAGCCTCCCTTGCCTTTTTCAGGACATCAGAGATCAGGAAATGTCAGGCCAAAGTCAGTTAGTCTTTCAGAAAATAGTTTTCTTGGGAAAGAACCCTTTTATTAGAAGCATCATTTTGACATAAGCTTTAAGCTATTTGCCTCAAAATGTGTGTGAGAAGCACTGATGCCCTCCCCCATAGTTTGAAAATGCAAAGGATTCTCTGAGAAGATCTGAGGAGGCAGTGTGTAGTCTATGGCTAAGTGATCAGGGATAGTGGGGTGGTTTGTCCTCACAAATGCTGACAGACAGCTGCAGCTTGCAGCTGGCAAGGAGCTTATGCTTGCTAAACAAAGATCTAGCTGCAGCCCGGTGAATACTTGGCTCTATTGCAATGATCATAATTCATAACATACATTTCTAAAGGAGAGAAAAAAATTAAGAACGGACCCAGAAAGCCTCTCATCAGTTTGACACTCAATGTGGTCTGGATATAGGTTGTTTTATTTGTTGTCTAATTTGAAATCCCTCAGGGGTCCTTCATGGACATGGGGGTCGCCATGTCTGTGACAAATGAAAACTGCTTTCTGCTTTCTAGCCACCCTCTCAGATTAAATCTTCCCTCTATTTAAAAACCATGATGGAAGATTTACTTACTGCCAAAAACCTAAGTGTTATCCCAAATATTCTATTTATTTTCCTAAATGAGTTAATTGTAATCAAATTGTCAAGTTTTTGTTTTTTTTTTTCTTGTTTTTGACCATCAGATAACCCCATCCTTGGGTACAATTCAGCTCATGTTGGAATCTCAGAAACATGAAATTTTAAATTTGAAAATAACTGAAGATAACATAGTATAAATGCTCCTAGCTTTTGAGACGAAGTAAAATACATTCAAATTATTTAGTTCACTTGCTCAAGGCTACATTTTTAGCAATAACTGAGTAAAGACTCAATTCAAATTTTGTAACCACCATTTCTGTTCTTTTGTCAGCACCTTCTTATTCGTTCTAAATCCCAGATCTACTTTATTAGAAAAACTGTTCTTAAATCCAAAAGAATGTTCCAGATGAGCCAGTTCTGTTGCTTAAGGTGCCCACTACTGGCCCAATTCTTCTAGTAACAAGGAACTTTCCATTTGAATCTTAATGCAATAATTGCCGACAATTAATTCTGTTTTATTCTACATATTTATAATTAGGGGATTTTGAGCCGTAATATGGAAATATATTTAAATTTACATGCATAATAATATGAAAAATACATGCCCCAAGGGGGGAAATTACAGTAGCCTTCCTCTTGACATGTAGCAATGCTAAGTGTTTTGCTATGATCCTTTCCTCTAAATTTTGGTAACCTGAAATCTGTAATAGATTATTATTATTATTTGGGGTTTTGAGCCTTCCCATTCCCTGGGGGAAGAGAATTCTGTTGCTGAATGCCAGGACACCCCTCCAGATGCAGATGTCTTTGAGAAGAGTGCTCTGCTGGATATGCTTTCCATGTGTTTCTGCCTAAGCTGGGAGGAAACAGAGGATTGAACTATAGATGGGAAAATGTACTTCACCGAGTTCCAACACCTCTGAAATTCAAACTTTTGGACTATCAAACAGGCAGTGGTGTTGGTGTTCTTCAAGCTTGTTTACTCTTGACAAAATGGAACTTCTGGTCTTGAGGGGAAAAAAAATGTCTTTGGGTTTTAAAGGCCTCCAAAAGCTTCTTGAGACATTAAGTACCTCTTACATAAAATACACAGTAATGATTTAAGATCTGAGCAATTGGAAATGCACGGATTAAATGACCTTTAAAATACACATAGGTTTCAAATCGAAAGAAAAATGCACTTAGCAAAACAGCATTTGGGATTTATTTCTTAAATATGGTTGGAAACATTAAGCAAACGCAAAATGAGGTGGCACATGCATCCTCATTTTGACTTAAAGATCTACTTTAAATAACACAACAGATGTAGTCATCAGCATTTATTCCAGCAGGGACATTGTGAATGGTGAGAAAGACACAGTAAGACTTGGGTAATAATAAGAACTACTGTCATTGTTATCCCTTAATCCTTCATACTGTCAAAGCAGAACCAAGAGTACAAGAGAAATATTCTGGCAGGATCTGACTCCCCGCTCCCCCCCATTTTTGTCTCAATTCAGTTAGGATATGTCCACCAGGAAATATTTCCTTAAATTAGTCATCAGAAAACAAGTGTAGCTGTTTTCATTCCATGGCAGGCAGGAAAAATAAAAAGCCACCTGTGGACTTTAGTCTAAAAACACCCTTGACAACACAAACAGGTGCTGGCTTATGTAATGGCTAAGGAAAGCAGAGGGGGACGGAGTCGTGAATCATGGGTGGGCCCTTGCAGAAGAAAATTGAGCTTAATTGCTGCATTGTGAGGGAATGGCCAACTGAGAATCATCAGGGTCACATGACAGTTTGGCAAAAATATTTATTTTGCCAGTTTTGTGGCACATAAAATAAATTGCTATTGCAACATACATTCAGTTAAGGCTGAAGGTGGGGCGAGGCAGATCTTCATGTTGTAAAGTTTAAGAATGCTCCCTACACTCTCATCAAGTCTGGAACATAGATGGTGATTAGCAAAAAAAAAAAAAAAAAGTTTTAATAATTGAGTATTGCCTGTGCAAGCTGTGTTAAGAGATCTGATTTTGAATTCCAGTTCTACCACTTAGAGACTGTATGATTTAACTTTCCTGGATCCCAATTTTTCATCTGCATAACAGGGATAAAAAGATCTTGAAGCAACATTGTAAGGATTAAAAACTATGCTGTATAAAGTCCCAATGCTTTATACGTACATGAGTAGATTACTGCTTTCATCTCCTTCCTTCCCTATGTCCTCCTTTGGTCATGTTCACGTTCATTATCATAATTTACTGCCTGCACTAGACTCTATATTCAGTGAGTTAAATAGGAATGGTCCTTGGGCTTTGAGAGCTAACAATTAACATCATGATACTGATGTGTCTAAACAGAAAGAGAATATGGATAATTTAAGAAACTCTGAATTAGTATATAAAATTAAATTAAGCTTATATTAATAATAGCTGTCAGTGGTGTTGGTGTTCTTCAATGTTCATATTGCATAAGAGGCCAAGGAATAACTTGTTGGGACAGAGAATATTTTCTCATGCTTTTGATGCATTGTGTAGCTAAATATCCAACTGCCTGAATGTATGTTAATTGCAATTTTGATGGGAATATAAAAGTGGTATCAATGCCACCACATGAGTGCATGGTCTGTTACTACTACCACTTAAGCTAAAAATAAAAATTTTAAAATATAAACCTTTTATTTTATATAATTTAAGGCTTAAAACCTGAGTATACACAAACTGAAATGGCAAGAAGTTTGCTTTGATTAATATGGCAGCAATGTTACCTTAAATAATGATAAGTGTTATCAGAGTTGTATCAAAAGTATATCCCATGCCATGTATCCTTAGGACACACAAATATATACTTTAATAATCACAGTCAAAACATCTTTTACATATTAAATTTTAAAAAAAGATCCCTAACACTTCATTAATTTCAGATGCAGTGGTAGTTTTGGGGAGAAGCTAAATTTGAGGAGTTGGATTATAAGTGTAGTGAGAGGTTAGGGAGTAGGTTAGTAGTGAAAGGAAGACCCTTTTGATTTGCTCCTGCCCAAATAAAATGTTACTTATCACTTTCAAGCTGGATTAGTTCTGACCAGTAAAGTAAAAAATGCTTCTCAAAATGATAACTTTTCTTATCCCCAGAAGGAAATGATTAGCTATACTTATCAGCAGTCCTTAATTCTACTCCAAACACATTGGAATTCTTGTTCTTTCCTAAGCATATCCTGCCTCAGGACATTTTCACATGCTGCTTACTCTGACCTGAACATTCTTTCCTAACATATGGTCATAGTAACTGTCCTAATTTCTTTCAGGCCTGTTCCCCAAATGTCACTTCTCATAGGTTCTCTCTACTTCAAGTTGAAAGCTTTTCCCACTTTGATGTTCTCTATCCCCTTTTCCTTTAAAATAAATAAATAAATAAAGTTGATAAACATCACTATCTAGCCAACACATATTTTACTTTTTGTTTTAACATCTCTCTTTTTATTCCTCCACTACTAAAATACTAACTCTATGAGGGCTAAATAGTTGCCATTTTATTTTATTTTATTTTGGTACTAGAGATCGAACACAGGGCCTTTTTCAGGCCAGCAGTGACTCCACCACTGAGCTACACTCCCAGTCATATTTTATTTCTTAGAGATTAATTCCAGGATTTGAAGAGTGCTAGGCAAATAAGTGTACAGTACACATTTACTGAAGGAATTAAAGAATATTCTACATTCTTCTTTCAGAAAAATAAAAGCTATCTATTCTTTGATATAAAAATTCCTAACACATATAGATAAAACCTTGTGTTCTAATAAATAAGCATTCATCTAATCTTTTATGAAGAAGGGGAATGGTGGTTGGTGAGTATCATGAAATGACAGTTTATAACCACAGCAGAGAGAAGCAGATCCTGGTTCTCATGTTCTTCTGTTCAAACCCGAACATCTAGAAATAGTTTAGTATTCTTTCCTTATTGACTTATGCACAGACAGTAATGTAAATCATGTTGTTATCT